TGGCAGGGAAATCGCCAGCTCCGGAACCAGAAAAGCTAGAAAGCTGAAATTTTAAGAGGATGTTTTCTGACAGTCCTGGTGGGCAGTCTCAATTCTTTTAGCTTGAAGCATGTGCCGGAAAAAAACAGTGTCGTTAGCAACAAAAACCCCTTCGGAGAATTGTGCAAGAAATTCGCAACGGCAATCGGTGCGCTGGTCAATTATTTGCATTCTATAGAAGCAAAAAACGCAAAACCAGCGATTTGTAACAGTGCAACACATTTCAAGCTAATCTTTCCGAACATCACTGTGCTGACTAACATTCAGACAAACGACTACTGCCTTCACCAGCTGTTTCAAAGGCTCCACAGTCGCCACCATCCGGTGGTCCATCGTCGCAGCTGCCATCGTCGGCTTCTTGTTCCGGTTGCAATGCTGGCGCATCGTCACCTGAATCGATCGTTTCGCATAGGTATTTCTCATTGAGCCTTTTCTGTGCCTCACCGTGTCGCACCATTTCCGGCTTCGACATCTCAAATCAAATTTCATATTAACACGAGTATTTTACGTATACGGAAAAAAACTGCGACGCTGCTGCATAAGATCGTGAAATGCGAAGTTGTTGCATAAGACCGTAAAAATTTAATATTAATATCGTAATAAATTAGACGAATTCGTATATAAATATCCAGATTTCATAATATTAATAAATAACCTTATAGGTATCTCTCCGATTGGTTTTTGTGGAACAGCTTTATCTAAACATCAGTTTCATAAAAAGGGGAGTCCCAGGAGCGCACTTCCTCATCCTTTCCGTTCTTTACCGCTCCTCTCTGCCCTCAAATTTACGTTACTTAGTCAATCGCAAAGAATAAATAATCCTATAGGTAAAAAGTATTTGAAAAAGTGTCCCAAAAAAAAGTATCTGGAACAGAAATGGATTCATTAATCCCTTCTACGGTAAGATTTTTATATCAACTTTACTCTTTCTCTCTCTCTCTCTCTCTCTCTCTTGCACACTTAACTTCTACCATTACTTTACCTATCCCATTCTAATAATACATATTTAAATTTAAATCAAATTTATGCTAATCACCACAGTCGTCGTACTGGCGAGGTCCAATTGTGGTAATGGTAAGAAATGTATACAACTTAATGGACCGAAACGCTCCTTGCCATTAAAAATAATTTTCAACATTTTATTAATTTCTTCTTTCCGACAATAAAATATTTTATTTATTTTACTGCATTTTGTATGGCGAATAGGTTTTTTTCCTTTTTTGTCTGAGGCTTCCTTTTGCACTACAGTTTTGGCGTATCGGCAAGTAAAGTACGGAAGGAGACTTCGACCATGTATTAAAATTTCGCTCTTTTATGCAGTCTGAAATCCTGGTTTTTCAAACAAACTGTAAAAAGACAACTGGCAATATTCCCAGCACAAGAAGGAGTATGGGTTAAAGAATTTTCAAATACAACGGCGAAGATGCTACAAGAACACAAAAGCCACGAAAGAGGAGCAAAAAATTAAGCAAAACGCCCTATATATGAAAGTTAGAGTGCACTTAGGCCTCAGCACACCTCCAGTGGGCTTTCATGCTCGTATCACTGGCGTCAGTGGGATGAAAATTTATGACAGAAAAAGCTACATGGTGAAGATGAGAAATAATAGATGGACAAAGCAAACTGGATCATTGGTACTCACATATTATTCAACATACCAAAAGGTAATGCAATGAAAGGGTCTAT